TTTTATTACTAGATTGGCTTCAAAGATGCTGTTTATAAACAAACTCACAAAGTTGAAAGAAAAGATTGAACACCTTATAGAAGACAATTTGGTGGAATGTCTTATAATGAGGAAGAAGCATATGTGCTTCAATGAGCTTACTTTTCTCACCATGCAGCTGACAAGCAGCTCTCTGATTGCTTTAGCATTATGATACAACTTTGGATACAATAAAGGCTACATTATTGCTCTATCATTTGTCAAGCTGTATAGAAAATTTTCAGTCAATGGATGCCACCTGTAAGATATTTTCATTACCTGTTTATAAAGCAACTGCTCGTTTTCTCTAGCATAACAGAAAAGAACATCTGTAAGAATTTTTCTCACATTTTCTTGTTGGAAAAACTGCATTTCAGGAAACCTGAAAAGAGAAAACACAGGAATGAAACTCACTAATACAGGTTCAAGGATCACCCTCAAACTCTCATCTTCAAGAGATGCCAAGGGCTGCTTCAGGTTTTAGAACAAGCCTGCATTTGTCATGTAACTTATGCTATCGGTGGGATGAAAAAGGGGTGAGGAAAAGGGGAATGATTATACCCCAGAGGTAAATGACACCCTTCAACATCTAAACATGTCATATTTCTTCACATACTTCACACATGTGTGAATACATACAATAATTTTTAAGCAAAATGAATTATAGCCCATCTGGGGGCAAGGGTTGCTTTGTTTCAGCTCATTTGATTTGTAGGACTAGAATGTGATTTTGTAAAAGTACCAACTATTTCAAAATATCACTGTCATTGTTTTTTCTTGACATAAAATATCAGTACTTCAATTATGATGTTATGTATGACCACACTATCCACTTCATCTTATTAAAATGTAGACTTCAAATGGAACAAATGTTCTCTGGTTCAGAAACTCTACCAGGTGCTTTGAGGTAATGTGAAATAGAAAAAGAGGAGGGAATCTGTTTGAAAGGAGTATAAACAGTTGTTTATAATGCAAGAATATACAACTGCAAGAACCCAAGTGCAAACACATAGCAATGCAATACACAATGACTATGTAAAGGCAGAGGGAATGTCATGTAGCAGTGAACAGTCAACTGGATTCAATTAGAAGGTCTGAATAAGAATTTTTAGAAGAGGAACATGGAACATCAGTGGAGAAGGTAACCAAAGCAGAAGGAAAGATGTGAAGGCACAGAAGGCAATGAGTATTTCAAGTGTGCAGCAAGCAAGGTAATTAGTAATCAGAAGGAAAAGAGAATTCCATGAAGTACTGACAGTTGGGAGCAAGATAGTGGGACAGAAGAAAAGGTGGGGCAAGTCTGGAAACAGCTTTGAATGCTGAATTGACAACTAAACAAACAACACAGTGAATCTACATTTTTGAATGGGGAAATTATAACAAAAAAAGTATGTGAGTAACTCTAAGTAGGAATAAGCCTGAAAGAGTAGAACTTACAAGAAGGACATAAGAGTGCATTATAATGACATGATATTAAAAATTCCAAACTCTAGTACAAAAGTCTGTGTTCACATTCACGTTGCATAATTTCTAGCTATGTAATCTTGAGCAAACGATTGCTCAACTGCCTCATCCACTGGGCAGAGAGAACAATACTGATCTGGTGATCAGCATGAGACTATGTGAAAGCACCACGTATAGTACATTACCAGTAGTAGACATTGAGAAATATAGGTCATTACTAATATTTGAGTAATGGTACTTTAGGTGATCAGGATGTGAATTAGGTAGCTTTGGAACTAGAAAATAAGAGAAAATGTGAGAGATTGAAGAGGAAGATGACCTAGAGCATGGAGTCATGGGGCATTATTGAAACTGAAAAATACTCCTTAATAAGAGTCTTTTAAAGAGCAATAATGGATGTTTTACTTCATATTATAATGGTTTGCTGCCGCCTATTTCTGGAGACCTCAGCTGTTTTATGCTTCACTCTGATCCTCTGTTGGCTCCCTATGAGAGTTATAACTTTCCCTCCAGTCCAGACTAGGATTTTGGGTGAACTATGCTAGAGATTTGTGAAGCATCTTTTTTTCTGGTCCTAATTTTAAATATAGATTAAGGCCTATTTCATCTTTATCTGTTCATTTGACTTTTTCTTGCAACTGCTGTTGATGTGCAACTGTCCCGAGACATAGATTTTTGATCTTTTCTGTAGCAGCAAGGATGCATCTCTTTTGGGGGCTGGGAAACAACCTAAGGACCTGAGCAAGGTTACTTCACATCTCTGCGAAAACCTTAGTGTGATCCTCTAGTCAGTCCCTATCCAGGCACAGGAGTTTGAGTAGGGGTGGCACAAGTGACTTCTAGACACGGAAGTTCAAATAGGGGTGGCAAAACTAACTTCTTAAAGAAGAGAATAATTAACCTCAAGGTAGAGTCTCAGTAAGGATAATATGCCGTGGAAACCAAAAGAAGTTCCAGAGAGATGTCAAATGCACTGAAAGTAGGAAAGAAATACAAAAACTTACTAAATGACTTATTTGGGACAAAAGAAAGTTGTTAAAGCCCTTAGAAAGTCAAATATTCCAAATTAATCAGGATGAAACAGAGATAAGTAGTTAGTAAAATAAATTGCTGTAGAGAAATTTCTTGGGGAAACATAGCCATTAAGGTAAGAATAGAATAATCCTTTTGAGAGGTGAATTTTTCTCCTCCTCTTCCTCATTATGTCTTAAATTTAGCCCTGTCGTTAAGCAGGCTTCATGTCTAAAGATTTGGCTCACCTGGCTTAATGATTATGTGTGTCCCCTTCCTTACCTATTCTTTGGAAATTTTCTATGTACACTGACACAACCAAATTCTGTATAGCTGCTGAAATCTCAATGGATTATGGAAGAAAGTACTACTAAAAACTGCTACATGCATGTTGCAACAAATATCCATGAACTATGTAATAAGAGTTTAATACTTAAATACTAAAAATGTAAATTATACTGTATACCAATTCATGGTTTCATTTAAATGCATACTAACCACTTGTAAGATTAAAAACTAGAGATCTAGAAGAATTAAATTGCAGGTAGATAATTTAAATTGCCCACTTTTAGCAAACACCCAATCAACTGAAAACATGTATTAGGCAGACATAGCAGACCTATGCAATGGCACACCATCTACAATTCTACTCTACAATGCTGAAGTGCTAATTTGTGAAGTTTCATGACATTCTCTTTTTTAGAAGAGTATGACTTCTTCTCTAAATTCAGATGAAGAATCCATTGCATCAAGTAAGTAAGGTAGAAAGAGAAAAGCTCTGAAAAAGAAGTAAAACTTTATGCTATTTCAGAGGTTGGAAAAAGAACTGAAATTCAGAGAAGTTTTGAGCTGAAAGAGTCTTTGGAGATTATCCAGTCCAACTCAGAGATTAACAGGCAAAGAAACTGAAGCACAGAGAAATTAATACCTGTGCCAATGTATCTGGATAGTTAGCAGAACAGCAGTACTTTCCAACTGCTTCCCTAATCAGTTATAAATGAATCAGAGAAATGCATTTAGGTAAAATTCCATGACTTCATAGTTATGCGGAAGAATCAAGCTCAGAAGGTTGATGAATATACCTGAACAATAACATATTTCCTGCAAAAATACTGGATTATCATATTATCAGGATTCAATCCAGAAGACTTTACATTTATGTGAATCAGAAATGAGAGAGAAAAGCACAGTGAGTAGCATTTCTAGGAATAGTAATAATCAGTTTTTAATAATATGCTGTAAGCTTCAGAATAGCTTCCCTGCCACCCATTACATTTCTAGGCTTTTTTACCTCATGCCAGCTGGTGTTGTTTCAGGATAGGTAAAGTAATTTGAATATCAGTCTAGCCCAAATATCATGGGAAAGGCAAATCTGTTTTTGAAACAGTAATAAAAAACAGAATATTGACCTTCACTGGATTCAATAATCATTCAGATTTTGAAAAATCAACAATGACTCCACAATTTCACACAAAAAAGAGAGAAATGGTAGTAACTTCAGAAAAGATACAGAGGGAAAAAAATTAGAATGAAAATGGTAGAAATCATAATTCAAGCCAAAATATCTGAAAGGAAAAGAAAAGGGAAAAAAAAATCACACTAAACAGAGATGGGAGACAAATTTTTTTATTATCAGAAAATGAAAGTCTAAGAGAAGTTATATTCTGCAGGTGGCCAGAAAATAAAAATTGAGATGTAAAATAGGTAAGGATAAAACTCTAAAAATAGAGATGAACAGCAAAGAGAAAGTCAGTACCCTATGAAGAAATTTAGAATAAAGCAGCCTAAAATTTTTACTTTATGGAAAAAAGTGCTATCTCAGTTTTAACTTATTTGATCAATATTTAAAATATAGAAGTTTCTCTCTCAGATATGTGAAGAAACTAGATGTAAACAAATTTTACATAGTGCAAAATAATAACAAGAGCTATCAAAAAAGTTTAGTGTATAAATTGTGTTTTGTCTCAAAATAAACCAAAACTAGTAGGCAATATAGTTTTACTATAACTTTTAAAAATCTTTTATTATAGAAAATTCAAACATTTATAAAGAGTCAATAGTAGACTGAACCCCAATCCATCCATCACCTAACTTCATCACTAATCAATTCTTGCTTTATATATGCTCCTTCTCCAATACTGCATTACTTTGAAATGAATCCCAGATATCACTGTATCTATGAATATTGCAATGTGAATCTCTGAAAGATAAGCAGTCTTTAAAAACTGTATCATTATAACACTACTACTAATAAAAATAATAATCCATTAACTTAAACATCTAATGTTCAAATTTCTGAGTCTAAAAATTTTTAAACTTTGTTCAAGATCCAAGAAATTTGTCCATATTGCAATTTGATATCTCTTAACGTTCTTTTATTCTATAGATTTGTCCTTCCTGTCTTTTGTTTTTTCTTGCAATGTATTTTTCAAAGAAATCAGATTCTTTATCCTGTAGAAATTTCCCACATTGTGAATTTTACTTATTGCACCTCTACTGTGTTATTTAACACGTTTCTCTTCCCCCTGCATTTCCTATAAACTGATAGTTAGAGCTAGAGACTTTATCAGATTCAGGTTCAACTTTTCAACAGATTCTTCATAGTTGGTATGATGGTTTGAGAACAGGTTTGCAAATTCTTTGACATTTATCCAATAAAAAGGTGAAGGAGTCTAACTCCTTTGAATATGTGCTGCCCTTACTGACCAGCTTCTCGCAAACTAAGTGCATCAAAAGTGATGTTATAACACTGGTTCTATCTAGCTCTCTCTCTGTACGCATCCTCAGAACCAAGCCACCATGCTGTGAGGAAAGCAGCTATACGAAAGGCTATGTGGAGGTGTCTCAGCCATAGCTCCAGAGGAGGTCTCAGCTGACAGCTGGCTTCAACAACCAGACAGGTGAGTA